GCTTGGAATTTATTTCGCTATTTTCGCTGAAGGGATGATTCCGAAAAATAAAATCCAGCGAATATACTTTTCTTCTATATTTCACATTAAACTCATCAAAAATCAGTGAAAATAAATTCAAAGCAAAAGGCCCAGAAAGCCTTTTCAGCGAAAATTAATTCCAGCGAAAATAAAGTATTCCACAGTAGCTCACTACCATACATTTGTTTTTAATTCTGATTCAAACTGGCTCATTTCGGTGTTGTTTACTGTTGAACAGGAACTTTGTCATGACTTGTTTTAACAACTGTTTCCCAGAAACGGATTACATATTTCATTCAATCTCTGCATACTTGATATTGGTTGCACAATTACATTTTTGTGTGAAGCACACAAGGGAGGTAATGAGTTTGTCCTTAGTTTTTGTCTAAGCAAAATCTAATTTTGATACATGCTTACCTTTTAATATGCAACCATGAAAAGTTTTTTAGGCCATGTCTGCACACATGAAACCACTGATTTGCATATTAATTGTCTCATTTCAGCTTCTGTAAAAATCTCAAGAATGTTCCAGTAGGTTTTGATCAAATTTGGTTCTTAGGTTCCTTGGCGTAATGTGCAGACAATAAGTCTTTTAGTCTGTCAATGTTTTCTTGCTACAGGAAACTATATGTGTAAATGGTTAAATACTTCATACAATTAATTATATATACAATAGTTACTGTATTTACTCTATTTGTAGCATATATATCTACATGTATGGTCAAATTAAATCATTTTCTAATGATGGAGTATACAATAAACACAACTATTGGTCACTGTGTGCTTTTATAAGACAATTAAGCAATAATGAACGACCCACCAACCCATATATGTGGAACATATATACGTGCGAGGGGTAAGCAGTAGTCGTATTGTTACGCCAACAGTGATTTTAATCTGACTGTATAAACAAGCCATGCATGGCACAGTCCCAGTTAGTTATTATATTTAAGATATATAGTTTTGTTTATAGTAATATAGCTGGAATATAACCATGTCAGGAATATGATTTTTTAACATTAAAATGATTGACATTTGTATCTGATTGTCAAACAAGTACTTGTCCATATTGAGAGATATTGCTCTGGAACAGCATTCAAAATCAGCCATTTTGAATACATGTATATATATAACATGATGTATAACGAATATATAAAATTTGAATATAATCAGTCAAAGCATTTAAGAGATATTCCTCTAGAAGCCCAATCATTAAAACAAAATGGCCACGATGTGCATCAGGAACCTGTAATGTCTAATGTATGTACCAAGTTTGAACGAAATCCATTCATAAATGCCAGAAATGCTTGATACTTGATGATGTTTTAGCACAAAAATGACCATATCTGTTTATCTATGACATGATGTATATTGAATATTTAAAATTTGAATATAATAGTCAAAACAAGTCGGAGATATGGCACGAGAACCACATTCATTAAAACAAAATGGCCGCAAGTCGGCCATTTTGAATTTTATCTGAAAAACAAAATTATTTGCATCAAGGTCCCATAATGTCTAATGTATATACCAAGTTTGAACAAAATCCATCTGTAAACAGCTGAGAAATGCTTGATTTTGATGATTTTTAGCACAAAAAAGGCCGCCATTCAGCCATCTTGAGTCAGATCGTGAAACACTCACGCACGCACGAAGGTCAAAACATAAGTCCCTGTTTTCGGACTATGTCCGAACCGGGACTAATAAAAAACACACCTAAGAAGAGCACAGATACTTTCATTTGTTTATGCAAACTGTGCTCGGATTGTGACATTTCACCGGGAAGTGGACGTGCTTTCGTTGATCTCATTTCGCAAATTGTGTAGTAGGACTGTAGGTACTACGGTACTCACTACAAAGCAGATCAAATGCATCTCCCTGTACTCATAGACATAACGCCACTTCTTTTATCACGTTTGCTTGGATAAATCACGATAGGGCAACCTAGTCAAGAGGCCACCAAGCGGCATCAGTCGCTGAATCTAGACTTTAGTAGTAGATACTTGATATCTAATAATTTTTTAAATAGTTTATCTATTATTCGTTTTCAAAAACATTGTATTCCTATCAATGGCACAGGACCTTGATGGTCAATAATGGGATATTATCGTGAATAATATGCTGCAATGACGTCATAAAATAAACTGGTATTGATAATGCTATAATAGGGAATAATAATCGGTTTTATCACAATGTTTATTGACAAATCTTAGATTTTTAATTTTATAAAAGAAACTTTATACATAAATTTGACAAAATCGGTTTTTCACTTTTGAAATATAAATTATACAACATTGAAGAAAACATTGCACGATTATACACATTCTGACAACAAACTTACTGATATACAAATGTACTAGTATTTGGAAGATCATATATGAATCATAATTGTTTAAAATTTACATTTTATGTTACTGCATGTACAAACACCTACGAACACTAAGTAAACCAGAAATGTATTGCATTTATTTTGTCACACACTCTTGCATATCCATGATAAAAATAAGTTTGTACCTGCTTCAAGGTGTATGTGTATATTAATTGAAAATTAAAATGAATACGCATTATAATACACAAAATGAAAGAACTGAACACATTTGACTTCAATTACATGTATAAAATACTATATTCATCACAGATAGGAACAGTTACTAAGAATAGTGGAGCATCTGACTCCTTAAATGTTCTCATAAAACAGAGTTATCAGATTATATACATTATAAAAAAAGATTTGATTACTTTCAAATTTCTCCAAAGTTGGTATGTCCAGTTTTAGATGCATGCAGAGTGGCTTCAGCTGGTCCTGTTAGGCCAGTATTACAGACAATACAACGCATCTTGAAATTAGACAAGTTAGTATAATGTTTCATAAGTCGAGCAGATTCTGCTATTTCCATTGCCTTAGCAAGTACAGTGTCATCCTGAGTGGAGAAGACTCTTTGGAGTGGCTCTTCAGGGTCACCTGTCTCCATAGCAAGTGGATCATAGTGAATCCCATCGTAGATTAATATAATTCTTTTCTTGTAGTTCATGGCTTCCCCGAAACGGTCAACACGGACTGTTTGTATGTCAGCGACAGCAATCTCCACAGAATACACTTTAGAGAGAATGGAGATTTCAATAGCACCACCCCATGTTTCGTCACTCAAAATCCAAGCTGAGTAGTCATGGGTATCTTTTCCAAGAAATGCTGAGTTGTACTTTACTGGATCTGATGATACAATTCTAGCAATCAAATGTCGAAGGTCACGTGCTCGACCAGTTGATATTTCTGGTGCTTCCATGAGGAAGCTTACACTTGTGAAGAGACACGAATTATCTGCAGGAACTGATATTCTTGTCAAACGTCTTTGAATGATAACTTCTGAATTGTCAGTTTTTGTGACAAGATTACTTGCAATTTTCCCACATGGCGCCTCCTCCACAATCAAGGTATCTCCCGAGCGAAAAGGTAGCGTTGAAAGTTTCGTGTTTGGGTTTGTCACATCAGTTTCCTTCGGCGGATAACCCTGAAAGATTTTCTGGGAGCAAGCTGGAATTTTCGTTAACTCCTGAATTTTTTCCAAGAGGTGTTCTACAGTTGAATTCAATGTCAAACCTTCAACAGCGTGTCGACCATGTTTTGTCTGACAGCGCAACGATAAGCGTTTATCCGCCATAACAGAAGTGGCACCTATACGCAGGAACAAAGTAAAATGTAATGTATTTGTTTGAGAACATGATACGCGTTATTTAGAATATACCGCCACCAACGACTTTGTCAACAACATTTCCAACCAGACAACGAAGATTACCAGCTATTTTTCTACATAGTTGCTAGCTTAATCATCTGATACAATTCTATAATACTTACTTTATTGAAAAAGAGGTCGGTATTTCATAGAAAACACTGCAAGGCGAAAACATGCGATTGCATGCGAGACTTCTATTTCGATCCCAGCAGCTGCTTTGTGTAAACGTCACGGGACGAGTCAAACATTTGTGATGACGTCATGAAAAGCGGGAGAAAATGTCGACTGTCAGACAGCGAACACCGCTCCTAAAAGCAGGTAAACAACTTGGTATATCGTTATTGATTTTAATAATCATCATTTAGCAGTTTTACCGATTATTCTGATATCTATTTTTTCAACATTCAGGCTTGGTTGGTAAAGACTGTATTCCATTGAAAAAATATTCAATGCACGTCCTTGATGTGTGTGTACAATGAATGAGTCAATGCAATTGTTTTATTCTCTCTCCACTAAAATGTGTTATGTTCTTTAAGTTCCGCATAGATCATTTTACATCGGCAAGGTTTTATTTATTTGCGTCCCCTTATGATTAGTCCGGTAACACCCGACTAATGTGTGATTACAGTGTACGAGGGCAGTATACTCTAATCACCTTACTTTTCCCTCACGCCGCTAATATAATAAATGCATGGCTAAGCAGGGATGACCTTTACCTGTGGAAAGCTGGCCACCAATGGCTGGCCAATGCCGTTTGCTGTTTGTTATTATCATGCTAAATAAAGCACACGCCATCTCGTGACTTAGGATCTATTTGGCGATACGTCACTGAAGCATGTGCCGGGAACGTGAACACTTTTTACCGGCGTTTCTGATTAGAACAGTTGGAACTGTCGAATGTATATCGGCGTCGTGGTGTTAAATTTTAAAACAGCTGTGATACGTCAACATCGAAGTGATCTCGTTATCTGCAAATTTATACAAATTATTAGAATTTTGGAGCTAAACTAGTCGAATATTTGGTTATACCGCCGCAGAGAGACTGTGGTTATATGCATTTACTTGTTGGGGTTATTGTTTACATTATAACACCACCACCACTGGGAGTTTATATACAGCGTGGAGCCTCTAGTTGCCAGTTCTCTATTCACTCTTGATCAAGTTGCTTGTTCTGTTGACTGTATTCCTGACCATGCCATTGCCAAGTAGATACATTAATTGTAAGTTTGTATATTTTTAACAGTCTTAAGCTTAGACCATACATGTGCTTAATGTTATACATGTAATTCTGCATGAATGCATCAAATTGCAATTTGTCAACCAATTAATTAATTAATTCTTTCATACCCAGCAGCTTTCTTTTCTTCAGAAATCCAAACCGCTTAGGAGATAATAATTAAGTTTCCATTACAAATAAACATTCTCATTCATTTTGTGAATTTGTTAGTAGTGTCATTATTATGAGGAATGTTATCTTTCTGCATTATGATTTTTAATGATTGATGAGTATTTCATAGTTCTGATTGTCATTCTCTTTACTCTAACAAACATTTAAATGACCTTGCAATTTGACATTTATACAGTTTTTGTACTTCTTTGTCTGGACATTATTATTAGTACTGGGCTACAACAAGCTACTTCTGTTTTAGACATTTATTGTTTTGTGACTAATTTATTGTGAGTCTCTGACAATGCTAAATTTTGGTAGCTGCAGTAATTTTCTTAGGCAGCTTTATGTAAAAGGTCACAATGACTTTCATCAGATTTAGATACCCTCAAATTCTGGTTTGTCAAAAAATGTCTTGTATCAGTGATTGTCTCATATCTAGTGATTGTCTTGTGATCAAGACCTAAATTCAACTCCCAATCCGGTAAATTCTCCAAATTCAGAGATAGTATAGTGTTTCTAGACAGTTGTCTACTAAAAATAACATGTTCATGTAGTAACTGACAAATCATTTCTGCTGGTAGAATAGTGTTTACCTGTTTTTTTTCCCTATTTTTTCTGATTTTATTCCAATTCTAATCAATAATCCCTTGCCTTTGACCATGATCTGCCTCACTAGATTCCAGATGTTCTGAAAAAAAAAAAATACAATTCTTTAAAAATGGATGCAGCCTTTGAACTTTATAATACTTTATAAAATGCTTGAGCCGCTCTACATGTATATATGTAAATAGTATTTATGTATATGCTCTTTGTTTACCATGCACAACTCTCATGATGAAAACTTGGCATCTTTCCCTTCCTGGTAATTAATGTATTTAGGTCAGCTCATACATGTATATGACCTGTATTACAGTATTGGATTGTGTTTGAGGTTAGTATCAACTATTCAGTATAACAGAAAACCATGTTGTGAAAGTTAAGGGTATCTGATGTGTTTTAATGGTAGCCATAGCAGTGGAGTTTAATGCTTTGACAACCTCATTGTTAAAATACTTAAATCTTGAATAAAAGAAAGAAGTTTATTGAAATATTACTAAATTTGTTTTTACACATATGCTTTTCATGCATATTTCATCTAAAAATTGTTGAACTTAAAAGAACAGTGAATGTTTGTACCATATGACACATAGGTTAATAGTGTATTATCTGTTATATTTATACTGAACTTTTCATAACCTACAAAAGTACATGTATATTAATTTCTATAGTAATGTCTATCTGAATGAGTATATTATTAGTAGTAGAGATTCATTAGTTCAGCATTGTAATACCATGAACAAACTAATGAGTCATTAACTGCAAAGTCAATATGACCTACACCCCTCTCAAAGAACTCAATGAACCAACCAACACCATTTTGTACACATGTAGTAGTGGGGGAATATATTCACATATATTCTACATTAAAAAATATACGCACTATAGCGTTCATAATAAATAAAATATAAAAATGAAGCAGAGCATCATGGGTATTGTCTATTTAACAGTGCACAAACTCCAAAATGACGGGTAGCTAAGCCACTTTACAATCACTGAATTTCTACAATTTATAACACACATAATGCAAAAAACACATTTATTCACAATTCTGAATGCAAAATGTTATAACTGTAGGTTTATAGTATTTGAAGACTGAATTTTATTTTTCTGTCACTATTAAAATGTTAATTTTGTTTATGTTTCAGCTTAACCCCATGCCTAAAGAAGGCAAAGGATTTCGCATTTTGTTTTTGGAGTAACTCGCTGTTTTAAATGACTTTTCTGCTGTTGTATATCCATGAACATATCACCTTGCCCGTAAAAATATAAATTTTTGTGTTCATTGGTGGAATGTTAGGGGATGTCAAGCACTGAAGGTTCAGTAGTGAAATGACTTGTTTGTTCATGGTATTATAATGTATTGTTCCTGGTGTATGTACAGAAAGATGGTCACCAGTTTTCAGTATGCAAATGAAACTCGAGCATGAAACATCTTGTTGGGGTGCTCCGCAAAATCACTCTTTTCGACAATCTTAATGCCTGTAGTGCGTTATATTCATGTCGCACATAACCATGAATATATCCATGATACAATTTTGATATTAATTTACAAGTTCAGAGCAGTGTCAGTCGGATTTTCATGTAAAAGTGATGGTAAAGCATGATTCAAACAGTC